TGTGTGTGTGTGTGTGGAGGTCAGCAAGGGCCGCGGTGATGAGAAAAGCCTTCTAGCGTTCTGCGTGGGAAACCCCGATAAGCCAAAACATAATATGACATACTGTAGCTTCGTCATGTGTGTAAAGTCTGAGTCTGTTTGTGCGAGAGCAAGAGACGGGACCTTTGAACAAAACCTTTACTCATGGATTGTCATTAAAAACTGGATTACTTGCTCCAAAGGTTGCTTCATTCAAATTACAAAAACATGTATATTCTCATTTTATATATCTGGGTTTTCTGCCACCACACAAATACAATGGAGGATTCATCTGTGGCGCTCACAGCATTGAAAAGTGACATTTAAAAGCCACTTGTCTTTTCAAAACACAACGTCCTGGTTACTCTGGATAATCCACAGACCTTGCCATGATCGGTTCGCATTGAAATTACTTTCTATCACAGAAATAATCACCATAAAACTGTCCAATAATTTAGTAATAAAAGATTCAGAGTAACAGGGACACTGGCTGGAAAGAGAAGCTGCTGTTGAATCTCATTAACCGAATTTTTCAGTGTTGTGAGCATCACAAATTAGATGCTATTTACTTTTATTGATGGATGCAGAGACGGGCATCTCAAAGTCTCACCACATAAAATGAAAACGATCTGCTTGGATATCATTGTAGGTAAACACAAATATAAATAAAGCTGCAAGCAGCAATGATCGGGCCCTCTCAGTCCACGTATCATGTGGAGACCACACAGGGAAACGTGAATTGACACAGTAAACACTGTAAACACTTCCTGTTTACAGCAGGTGGCACATGCCACTGAATATTGGCATGTAGACGTGTCTAACAGAAACAAGTTTGGTTCAGGTTGAACGATGTACACTGGACTTATGATAACTTCCTGTTTAATGGCGATTTATAAATAAATTTTACGCCAAGCCATGTAACACACTTTACATGTAGGACATATAGGACAACTTTTAACCATTATGTTCTTAAGAATGCACAGATCAAATCTAAAGTCGATCCGATCAATTCCCTTTAAAATAGGAGTTCATTAAAATACGGTGCGCCAAATCGCCAAAAATGATGACTAAATTCAAAATGGCCGGCGTCCTGTTGGGTTTGGGATATGAGTCCTGGAGGCTTTTTTGTTTGTCTGGTCATGATATATGCATGTGGCAACTTTCATACATGTTGGTGAAACATGTCTCACGGGCTGAGTTTAGGGGCACTGTGGAGTCATTTTACCACACAAATGATGTGTGACCCGTATAATACGTACATTTCTGCCACTGTTGAATTTTGTGCCACATTTCATGAGTTTTAGAGCATGTTGCGGTTGCTGCTCCGGCCCTAAATATATATATTTATGTTAGTATGTGTTTTTGACTAATCAAGTGAATTAAATACAAATACAGGCACATCGTCTGCACAATAAACACCCACTCATTCAATCAACACTGCCCTCAATAGACTAATACAGCCAGAGATATTAAAGGGATATATAGATATAACACATGTATATATGGTGAAGCAAAATGCACATGTATATGCTCCCATTGTATATTCTGTATAGTCTTAGCTCTATTTGATAGATACTTTTGCTAAACATCAGCTAATAGGCGAAATTTTTAGGACTGGACGATATGATTAGTTCAAATACTTTAGAAATCAGCAAAGTTACATGTAAAATTGATTAAATGGATGTTGGGTAGGGCTGGAATTTTAACAATTATTTGACTTACCAATAAATCTGCAAATTAGTTTCATAATTAATTGATTAATCGTGGACCCAGAGCTTAAGGTGACGACTTCAAACACCATGTTCTGTCCGAGCAGCAATCAAAAAGCAAGAGAAAATCTATAAGTAGAATGGAAGACTTGTCCTTGATCTACTGTCCACAGCGTCTGCCAAAAGAATAAATGAAAAATGCAAAAACACAGCAAAACCTCACACTAGACAAGCTGAAAGCAAAGGATTATTGATGTTTTTTGCCTGAAAAATCACTGAAACATTCGATCAATTACAGCTGCCAATTAATTTTCTGTCAATAAGCTAATCAGCTAGCAGACCAACTGTTCCAGCTCTAATCAGTAGCATTAAATGTAAAATAATAAAATGCTTTACATTAATTAAAGTTAGTTACATCTAAAACAACATACAGTAATAAAGGGTTTATTTCTTCTATGATAGTAAACTGAATAACGTATAAAACGAGCATTTTGAGTATGTTAACTTGGGTTTTTGGTAAACCTGATGCACTAAATGATAAGTTTGAGCTCTAATAAATTAGTCATATCCCCCTTCAAGGAACCTCATCTTCAGTTTTTAATAGATTTCGGGGCTCTAATGAAGCCTTTAAAGGGTCCATCCATGCTACAACCCACAGATTCATATGTTTAGTACAGTGTGGGTTAAGTTTGGCCTCTTCAAATCCCTCCAGAGATGCCAACACACTTCTCAGATATCCATCCACATGGCAGATTCGATTGCTGGCTGGCTGGCTGGCAGAGCTCCTGGCAGAGTGTTGGAGCCAGTTCAGCAGGTCAGATTATAGAGAGTACCACTCATTGTGTGTGTGTGGATTTAGAGGGAATTCATCTTACACATTATCCAGCTATAGTTTTCTGTATCTGTTATCTGAAAAGCTCAAATTCTCCAGACAGACGCTTGTAACACAAGTCTCTGTCTGGCTAAGTCTGATGCCTGTTTGGGTATTCCTGTCCAGCTTAGGTAGGAAGTAGGCAGAAAAAAGAAGGGGGCACTTTAAGACTCCGCAAGGTGACAAAATTCAAGCAGGAGGCCCTGACCATATGTTGTCCTATCCTTTCCTGTTTGGAGACCCTTCTCAGTTGCTCTTATCCCCCCAACATCCCCTCCCCCTTCCTCTTCGCCCCACCGAACTCCCAGCCAGAGTGACAGCGACGCCTGCTCGGGCTTCTTATCACAGGATCGCTGCTTGGTCACCATTTCAAAGGGCACACAATACTTCAGTCTTTATCCTTTCACACTCTTGTTTTGAGTTATTAAATCTCCATGTGATGTGAATACATTTACATTTTCACCCAGTTTTAATATGCTAGTTTTCTTATTGTTGCTCTCCCTGCTGTTTATTACCTTATTCTTTTGTTTGTTTTCGGAG